GGGGGGATGCTGAATGGTGTGAACAAGCCCCAATTCTGATTTCCAGGCACAAAAACTTTAATTTAAATATATTTCTTGAAAACTCACAAAGGATATCAATCTACTTTATGTGCACCAAATGCCTTTGCAAACGCAAATATTACCTTGGAAAATCAGCACTGACATCATCCTTGAGCAGAGCTGTGGGAGGGGCCAGTTGTCCCCGCCCACTACAGGAGACAAGACCAGTCACCCTGCACAAAGATGGAGTACAGCATTGACCGGTCTTTATTACAGGAAGCTCCTGCACAAAGTCTCACGCTGGGTTACTGCACAGAGCACACCAAGATACAAGTAGCAATACACGTGCCCCTTGTATTTACACAGTATTTACTTATCTGGGAGTTCAGCTTCAAGCTTTTCTTGCATAGATCTCATTTCCTAAATGGAATAGTTTACATGAAGAAAAGTGCTCATGTATTTGTCAAGTCATTTTTATTCATTGTGAGTGGAGTAATAAACAGTAATGTGTTTCACTAGGGAGATTTTACTTCACTTTCTGTGCCATAGACACAAGTGAATGGACAGCCCTACAAAGTAAAGAGAATTCCTCTTTAAGTCCTGGTTCACACTGACCGTTTTGTAGCGCTTTTTCTGTCCTAAAAAAAATCCCATTCAATTCTATGGCCATGTTCACATCTGTGCTTTTGTCGCAATAAGCAAAGCGCCTGTCGCTGGGAAAAGTACAGGAGCTCTTTTTTTTTTTGCCAGATTACAGTGCGTTTTGGTCCCATAGGCTCAATAGGAAACATTTAAAAACATGCGTTTGCTGCGATTTTGCACATTTTTATGCACGTTTCCTAATTAACATCAATGAGCTACAATCTGCTCACAAAAACGTGCGATTTGATTTATGTGCATGAAAAAACGCTGTCTAGGTGTGAACTCAGTCTTAGATGGTTATCACAGGGATAGCTTTCCCTTTCCTCCTGTTTGTTTGACAACTGTTACATTTGTGTCTCTGTAGCAATGTTCACCAGTACAAAGTGGCTAAATCTCCTCAGCAGGGACTCGGCTAATACAAAACGGAACCTGACAAGGGTGCTTACTTAAAGAAGAGCTCCAGGGTATTGACAAAGTTAACCCTTGCAGCGGGGCTACTCCTGCACTTCTAGGGTTAACCACTGGTTTTGGTCTAGGGACTGGAATACAGAAGATATACTCACCTGATCCTCGTACCTGCACCTCTCTTCCTCTCTGCTTCGGCTGTGGTATGTCCCTTGGCATCCTCCTGTCTAATGCTGGATCAATGAAGGGGGGGGGCGAGGCAGTCACAGTTTTTTGACTGGGTTTGGGTGAAGTGGGTTCACAAGCCCAGCCTCTTCACTAGTAACGACTGGGTTACCAGGGGTCTTATGCTGGAAAAATAGTTCCCTGACTGCTACTAGGTTTGGCTGTACACACATTTTGTAATTGAAGTGCAGTAGCATTATTTCTGGCAATGGTAAGTAATCCACTATCCATACACACACCAAATATATAGAAGCTGCATGGGCTGAAAGGGGAAGTCCTAGATGCCAGGTCTGTATAATCTATTCACTTAGACAACTCAGTCATTTCTAGATGGTGTGGGTTTAATGTCTAAAATGTGTGTATATGCAGATGCTGTCATTGCAAGATCTGGTTTTCAGTTATAATGTTTTGGGCACATGGTCCCGCATGTTACAATCTCCTCATAACATTTCCCATTTCAGTAAGTGTGTGTGTAAACGTTTTTTGCAGTTTACATAGTGATGTATTATGAGGCGACATACCTTTGCAGCGGCCGGGATAGCGCGACGGTAGCGCGACCTTCTCCGTCAGGCTCCATAGAAAAAAAGCAAAATCCGCCGAAAAAAGGGTCCTGTAGGAGCGACATGGAGCTAAGGCCCCGTTCACATGTAGCGACTTATCGCGCGATTTCCGCCGCGAGAAGTCGCCGGCTAATGATAGTCAATGGAGCTGTCTTAGCTCCATGTCGCAAGTCGCTTCTACCGGACGCTTTTTTCTGCGGATTTTGCTCGATTTTGCTGTTTTTTTTCTATGGAACCCGAAAGTCGCGCTATCCTGGCCGCTGCAAAGGTATGTCGCTACATGTGAATGGGGCCTAAGACAGCTCCATTGACTATCATTAGCCGGCGACTTCTAAAAAGTTTGTAGGCTAGTTTAACAGGTTCTAGGATACAGATCATAATAAATTATAAGCAAATATGTTTTTAAAAGGGGCAGGACACTTTTAAGCTGGGTGAATTTTTCAGCTGGTTCTTCATGTGTCTTGGGGTACAGATATACCCCCTAGTGTTATTTCCTAGTAGTGTGGCTGGATAGGAATGTTGTGTTTTTTTTGTTTTTTTTTTAACCAACCATCTTCTCTTTAAAGAAGGAAATGTTGTTTTAACTGATTATGCTCTTCTATAATTAGTTTTATAGTAGATGTCCTGGGTGTGTTATTTTGTTGTAGTTCAAGCGCCTGGTCACACCCTTTTGTTGCGGGCTCTGATCTTCACAGAGAGGTCCTACAAATAATATGTAACTTGATCTGTTTGCTACTAGTTGAGAAGTACCCTCCAACTTATCATTTTTTTTTCTTTAGGGACTCTGGAGTGCTTTGGAATTGACACCTCTGTGTATGTTGGTAACATTTTAGAAAATATAATTTTAACACAATTTGTTGCACTGGTTGCAGGTATCCTAAGGCTACATTCACACCTACAATGTTGGTGGGGTTTGGTATTGCTGCATCAGGAACTTGCGATTTTCCTGCGGCTGAAATTCAAAATCTTCCATTCACAAGCAGCAGCTGCCACCAGTTCAAGTTGATGATTGGGTGATAGCGGCCACATCTGAGTGCCTGTTCACACGACGTCCGTTTTGTGTGCTGACCTGATCCGTACGCTCCTGCACTCAAAATGTATCCCTATGTGTTTTATGGGCTACATTTGCGCATTCCGTTCAGCTTAAGACTGCAAATACTGCATGTCACATTTTGTACGGTCAGGAAGCGGCCAGGAAACGCAAACACGTCAATAATGCACTGCAGTGCAGCTAACATACTAACAGCCCCTACTGGAACGCATCAAAAACGCGGCCAAAATGCACTGCATCAGTAGCTCCGCGTCTGCAGATCCGGACCTGATCAGGACCTGAA